ATAGCCTGTTTGGCCAAGCTGGAGAAAAAAGTACTTTTGAAAAAAATACTTTTGGAGAGAAGCAGTTTGTGTTTGACTAATGACTCTGAAAAGCACTTTTGAACAATAATTTGTGTTTGGCCAAACTTTTCAGAAAGTGTTTTTAAGTATCAAATTACGAATAAGTACATGAATAGATTTACTTAATAGTTAATAGGGCAAAGGTTCAAATATGCCCTTGTACTATAGAAAATTGAGCACATTTGCCCTTCGTTAATACTTTAGCTCAAATATGCCCTTACCGTCACATAGTTGGTCCATATATGCCCAGTTACACAGTTGGCCCATATATGCCCTTTTCGAAAAGGAATACATCCAAACTAATTAGCTCTTTCGTTAATCGTATTAAAGTGTATTACAAACACTATTTCCTTTGTATTAGTACCTTTTTTTCTTTACCTTTCTCTTTTCTTTCTTCTTTTTTCTTTTCTTCTCTTTTTTTTTCTTTTTTCTTTCTCCCTTATCCGTTTTCTCCATTACTGATGTCTTCTCCATTTTCGTCACCAATTTCACTTGACAAAACTCATGAATTCTAATTACTAAGAAAATTCTCCCATAAGGTAATCAAGTTCCAATTTCACTGGCCCTCTAAATAAATGAAATTAAATTATTCCAAAAATTATGGTTTAAACTTTAAAATAATATAAAAAAATCTCAACCTTTAACAATACTCGAAAGACCAAAATATTTAAATTGTTTCCAGAAAGATAATTTAATGATTAAAAGCCTGGAGTTCAAGTTGTAGTGTTATAAATTTGAGTTGTTAGTCTTTTTTCAGCTGGACATTTTCTATTTTTTTATTAACTATGTAAATTAGGGGTGTACATGGAACGGGTTGGTTCGATTTTTATCAAAATCAAACCAAACTAATTATATCGATTTGGATTGTTCGATTTTGTTGGATTTTCGGATTTTTTGTTACATAAATATTATTTCAATCTTACTTTGTTAAATTTTTTAGAACTAAATATATGTTCAGTAAAAATTAAAAAAATTAAAAAACATATGATCTATAAAAATATTCTTATGGGAGAATTTTCTTAGTAATTGGAATTTATGAGTTTTGTCAAGTGAAATTGGTGATGAAAATGGAGAAGACATCAGAAATGGAGGAAATCGGATAAGAGAGAAAGAAAAAGGAAAAGAAAAAAGAGAAGAAAATAAAAAAGAAGAAAGAAACGAGAAAGATAAAGAAAAAAAGTACTAATAAAAAGGAAAGAGTATTTGTAATACAATTAACGAAATAGTTAATTAATTTGGGTGGATTCCGTTTCGAAAAGGGCATATATGGGCCAACTGTGTAACTCTAAGGGCATGTATGGACCAATTATGTGACGGTAAGGGCATATTTGAGCTAAAGTATTAACGAAGGGAAAATGTGATCAATTTCGTATAGTATAAGGGCATATTTGGACCTTTTCCGNAAAAAAGCTTGGCCAAACACCTCAAGTTGTGAAGAAAAAGTGCTTTAGAGAAAAAAGCACTTTTGGTCTCTTGAGAAGCTTGTCCAAACATGCTAGTAGGCAGATGAGAAAAATCACCTATTATTTTATTCTAACTTCCAGCAGAGTGTGTAATTCTTGGGAAGGATTTCCTCGATGTTGCCTAACAGTGGATGTATGTAGTGGATGGCTCACATTGTTTAACAATGGTCTCTTGTTATTGAAATTGTTTTGTGACCAGTTAAGAGTATGTCACTAAATTCTCTCTCTCAAATTTCAGGCTATTACCTCATCTGGTCTGAAGAAAGGTGAATTATTCTTAGCCGACGTTAACACTCAGCTGAAGAACAAAAATGTTACCACTGATGTAAAAGTGGACACCAATTCCAATGTGAGTTTGTAAATACTTTCATTACCTTTTATTGCCTTTTTCCTTCTGATTTTCAGCTTGATTACTGGCATCTAATATTGGACTGCCTATGTTGAATAACTTCTAGTATTTTTAACTGGAGATACTATTTTTGAATTTATATGCTTTGGAAATGTTAGGTGGCAACATGTCTGGCTGTGTGAGCCATATTGATCTGGTCACGATTTGTTCTGACTTGATCACTTGATCAAACCTTCCCTTAAAAATATAACCCAAGAAATCTAGAAAACCAAAAGTAAAAATGAAGGATTCCTCTGAAGTATTAATTTGGTTACTGTGTATTTTGTTTCCTTCTTGCTGTCTGATTCAATGCATGTCCATGGAGTCGATACCTTTCTCCTTGTGTATTGAAAGAATGTGTTTGTTTGCCTGTTTGCGTGTTCTCCTCCATTTTGCTGTTGGATCTCTCCTGCAGACTATCTTTTAGCCACTTAACAGCATCTCAGACGTTNTCTCTCTCTCTCTCTGATTTGTGAGGTTTCCTTTAAAAGATGTGGATTTTCTTCTGATTTATAAGAGAATTTATTTTCTGAGCATGGTAAGACTTTTGTAAACCGAAGCACAAAGTTTGTGCCAACATACATGCAAATCAGTTCTTTTACATAACTGTTGGAAGCTGAGGAAATCTAACATCCTATCTGCTGTACTAACATCTTCTAGTCTACACTGAAAAGCCAAAAAAAGATATATATCTCTATTTCAATGTATGTATACTTTCACATTTGCTCCCAAACATCGTTGATTCCTTTCCTTCCAAATCACCCGCCATATGCAGGAAGGAACTTAAAAGTGATTTGAGTAAATTTTAAAAGTGAATTTGTCAATCTTTAGAGTGATTATATATCTTATAGAGTTGTAGTTCAAAGTAGGCATTATGATATTGGTAGGGGATTGAATGATGGGAGATGCAAATACCTCCAAATGCAAACTTTTAGTAACAGAAGACTGAATGGTCAAGTATGATAATCAAAATAAATGAGTTTTCTGGTAGTCAATAACAAATGAGTTTCACAACCAAAGTCGAAGGACAGTCAATTGGGGGGAGGAGTAATATGTTTTTGAGTTATCTAACTTGTTCTTCCCTCTACACTCTCCCAAAAAGTTCTCTGTCTTCTTTTTTTGGTTTTGATTTTGAGACTTATTGATTGAGAAATTGACAAGTTCAAGTTTCTTTTGTCCAAACTGAGTTGGAGCACAGCCCGACACTCTGCTAATTAATTTGGATTGAATGATACAGGTCTACACTACCATCACTGTTGATGAACCTGCACCAGGACTCAAGACAATCGTCAGCTTCGTATTACCAGATCAGAAATCTGGAAAGGTACCTTTGCTTTTAACAATATTTCTCTGCAGTTGGTTGGTAGTTTAGAATTGCGTGATTCCTAAGCAAAAGAATTATGTTACAGGTAGAGCTCCAATACTTGCATGAGTATGCTGGGATCAGTACTGGCATTGGACTTACAGCAAGTCCTCTTGTCAACTTCTCCGGCGTTGCTGGCAACAATACTGTTGCTTTGGGCACTGATCTATCATTTAACACTGCCTCAGGCAATTTCACAAAATGCAATGCTGGTCTGAGTTTTTCCACTTCTGATCTGATTGCTTCCTTAGCACTGTAAGTATTTGTCTGCCTCCTTGTACATATGTATTTGTTAGATTCTAAATTGAGCAAAGTCTGTCTTTTAGCCATTCTTTCTCTTTCTTTTTGTCAAATGATTTCCTTGTAACGTCTTGGTTTTCTGTCTTTCTCCAAGAAACTCTTTTGGGATTTGAATTATTTCAGCCCGACAATGTCCCTTCTATTGATGAGATACTATTTTGAAATGAAATGAGGGCTGTATAATTGCATTAAATGTCTCTCGGATTTTGAGGAAATTTTGACTTGGGGACCTACATGTTCTATCATCAGTCTTTGTTGTTTTCTAATCTTAGATCTTTTTTTGACTAAGCAATAATTTTATACAGGAATGACAAGGGTGATACCCTTAGTGCTTCCTACTACCACACTGTGAAGCCGGTGACAAATACAGCTGTTGGAGCAGAGTTGACTCACAGCTTCTCAAGCAATGAGAACACGCTGACCATCGGGACACAGCATTTGTTGGACCCATTGACCACGGTGAAGGCTCGGGTTAACAGCTACGGTAAGGCATGTGCTCTCATCCAACACGAGTGGCGACCAAAATCCCTTTTCACAATATCTGGTGAAGTGGATACCAGGGCAATTGAAAAGAGCGCCAAGATTGGGTTGGCTGTAGCCCTCAAGCCATGAGTCTGTTACTACCTTACAGAGAAGTGAGTGAAGCAGTGTTGTTTTGTATGGTCCAGAGTAATAAATTAGATAGACTTGTTTCAGCACATTATCCTTCTGCACCAGTAAGAATAAACCTTCAACTGGTAATGCAAACTCATGAATTTTTGCTTATATCCATCCCAAATGTTCATTGAGGGACCAGTTTTTGCCTTCACCTGGCTTCATCATTCATGCAATTGATTAATCTTTATTTGTTCATTATTTAATGGTACGAACATTTTCCCCTTATGATGTTGAATGTCAGTGATGGCACAGAGGCTCTCCAAAGAGAGCTTTCAACCGTCCTTTCTTCTTTTCTTAGTCCTTATCAGGAAAGAAAGTTTGACTGGAAGACCTTTTGATTGGTGCTAGTTGCTTGAGCATCTACTGGGCGGGATCACTGACATATTTGGTTGCTATTAAAGGAGATCTTGTGAAGCACACTGCATCTATCGTGGATGCCTGTTAGCTTTGTTAGTCTTGGTGGAAAATGTTGTTAGCTACTATCCGCTAAAGTTTACATCTACGATGCTCACTTTGGCTACAATTGCGTAAAAGAGCTCACTGAACACCGAAGCTATATAGTGTAGTTTGTATATTCTGCCAGTGTCCCCAGCTCCTCTCTATACACTTAAAAGAAAAAAGAAAGGCAGCCCGGTACACTAAGCTTCCGTTACGTGCAAGGTCCGGGAAGGGCCAGAGTCTATTGTAGATAGCCTTACCCTGCATTTTTGTAACAGACTGCTTTCCTGGTCACATGATAGCGATTTTATCTGTTACCCCAAGGCGCTCATTTAAAGAAAATGTTAGTAAAAACCCATTTGTTTCTCAAGTACACCTATTTTCCGTACCTTCCTTGAAATTACTACTACAGAGCATCACATCAAATACCGTGTACAAGTGTTTAAGAAAATAGCCTGCTATGTGTAGCTAGAGTATGTGCACACAATTAGTTCTTGCACCTTTCCTTTTCTAACACAATACATGGAGAAGTGCCCTCTTTCTCTCAAAATCATCATATCTGCATCGTAGACTAGATGTTTTTCCTTGAAGCAAACTGTTCATTTATTTACCTCTGCTGTGAAAGTCACATCCTCTGGGTCATGAGGAATGAAGACAATAGATGAATTAGAGGAGGCACCTATCTCCTTCATTGTGTCAAAGTATTGGGTAATCAAAATCATATCCATGATATCCTTGGATGATGCCCCAGGAACACTATTAGAGAACCCGAGTACACTTTCTTTGAGTCCTTCTACGATAGCTTGACGTTGACGAGCAATGCCGAGCCCTGCTAAATACTTCGATTCTGCTTCCGCTTCTGCTTGCTTTATCTGCAGAATCTTCTCTCCTTCTGCCTTCTCGTATGCAGCTTCTCTCAATCTTGAAGCTAGTTTACCAATTCACATTAGAAGAGCAAAGGCTAAAATTTTCAGACCACTTGATCTTGGACAAGCTAACAGCTAGAGAAAAATTTACTTTTATTTAAGGGATAAAAAAGTAATCTAGTGAAATTTAAAGATAACCATACCTGCATTAATCTCATTCATTGAACTTTTCACTTGATCATCTGGTTCAACATCTACAATAAGAGTCTGAACTATCTCATATCCATAAAGAGACATTGCCTATGTAATTCCCCAAGGAAAATGAGATAGAGACTGAATTTAGTTTCTTGACTTCTATTTGTTTGCATAAGAATTGCAGTATCAATATAAAGAAATACCTTTGCGAGTTGCTTCGCCACTGTTTTGGCTATCTCGGTTTTCTGTTCAAATATTTTATCCAGTTCCAATGTTGGCACAGTTGCCCTAATAACTGACAAACAGAACGAAACATGAAGACAATATAAGGTATGAATAAGTAAACATCTCATCATTATCTCTACAATATGGACTGGAGGTAAGGCAATATCTAACTATGTCATTCACTATATAAATGATCACAGTCCGAGTCCCAGCAAAGACAAAAAGAAGTTAGGTAATTTCTTGGATAGAATTGTTCGGTACCCGTGATAGGGGAGCTAGCAGATAGAACATACTAGAATAGTAGGATAGTCCATTTGTCCGAAACATGGTTATGCAAAAAAATTGGAAGAAGCAATCCTGAAAATTTTGGATATAGATGACCTAAAGTACTGCAACAATAATAAAGTGTGAAATTTACGGAAAAAAATAGTTATTGAGGGTGCTGTTATTTGCACAAAACAAAAACGAAAAGATCAATTATCTTTTTTGCAGGTACAACAAAAAAAAAATACACCTAGAAAATTTTGTTGGTGGAGACCTGATGCAATATGTAGAAATTACAAGCAAACAGGTCATGTTACAAAAGTATGTAAGTTTAAAGACGCTCAACACAACACTCACACTCACGCACAAACAGCAGAAGCAGTAATTGAGGAGATTTGCTTTTGCATTTTTTTTAAGCATAATAAAGTTATGATAATGGACAGGCATAATGTTTGCATCTCACCATCAAAGACATATGCTTTAATCTGCTCTTTTGTGTTGCTTAGCTTATAGAAGGCATCTGCTGCCTTATCTGCCAAGGCTCTATACTGGATTGAAGCAACCAGAATCACAAAAACATTATCCTGAAATTATTAGCAAGCAAGCAAAGATAAATACACTTCCTGGAGACTATGGTACCCTAACCATTTCAACTGGAAATTGAAACTTCCTTTCCAGAGAAATAAGGATATCATTCTTAAGTAACAACTAGCCTTTGACCAAGAGGATAAAAAAAGAAGACAAATATATAGAACAAACCTTAGTCTTGGATTCACAACGAATGTCAAGTTGCTGTACTCTGAGAGAAAGATAACCAGCTAATTGGCTTCCAAAACACCATGGCATCAAGTGACAACCAGGACCAATAACATCTTCATACTTCCCAAAATTTTCCTTTATAGCAACTGTGGATTGATCCACTTGAATACAACCCAAAGCTTGCCCCATAACTTCTATGATCACAAGAAATAAATATTATTTAGAAAGGATATTCTTGATTTCAAAGTTTAAGATAAAATTAACATCTGAATCTTGGTTTATTCAGATTGACAAGATCTTGACTCAAGATTCACAAAGGGTCTTCAAAAAAAGATTAAACAAAAAAAAATAATTATTATTAGTATACCAATCTGTCTACTTGGTTTTCAAATCAACATTTATATGAAAAGAAGTTGATCTATGTCTAAAATGGTAAATGTGATAGTTGATATCTTTTCTAAGCCAATACTTTTGGATAAGACCTCACTAAATGAACATACAGAAAAAGTCATTTTCAGCAATAAGTTGGCCATTTTGTTATCATTCTTCAGTGCAATTACGAAAATGCACCAAAGTAGTCATTAGGTGGTGGAAGAAACCAGTAAGATGGACGTTTTTTAAATTAAAAGTGAGTCCATGTAATTTTGACGTGTTTGTGTTTCTAATTAGTGGGAGTACATGTTACAGTCTAATTAGTCACCTATGTGAAATTAAGGGGAAAAATTCTTTCCCATTGTAGAAAATGCTCCACTTTGATATTATGCATTAAAGTGATCAATGAATATATGAAGACAAGTGTTTTGCATTCATCGGTATAAACAAATTACACGGTAATATCTTTTCTCCCAAAAGCAACTCCAAATATCCTTTGCTAGGTTTTGGATAAGAGTGTTAGTCTGTCGGTACGGTGCAATATTTAGATATTTTGATTCGGTATTTTCGGTATTCGATATTTGCAATATTTAGATATTTTGATTCGGTATTTTCGGTATTCGATATTTTCGGTATTAGATTTCTTAAAATCCTATACCAATATCGTACCTAATTAAATTCGGTATGGTTCGATTTTTCTTCTTTCGGTTTCGGTTTATTCGGTTCGGTAACTTCGATTTATTCGATTTGAATACTAACTAGTGCATAGAGCCATATACTCTAATATTCTTAATTAAAGTACTCAAAAATACAAAACTGAAAATATTTGTTGATAAAAGTTTTGTCCAAAACCAGCAAATATCGACTCATAGAGAGAAAACTGTACATAAAAGAATAAATTTGATCATTAGAAATGTCTTGTTACTTGTTTAGAGCTAATTGATAAACTTAGAGAATAAATAAAAGTAAAATTTTAGATTTTTTATATTTATGTTATAATTGATAATATGTGTTTTGTCTAATATAATATATATTTCGGTACGGTATCGGTATTTCGGTATTTTATTTTAAAATACCATACCTAATACCAATTTTTTTAAAAACTTAAACCAAATACCATATCAAAAACCAAAATATCGAATACCAAATATCAAATACCAAAATTTTCGATTTCGGTATGATAATTCGGTATTTACCAAATTATGCACAACCCTAGTTTTGGATCATAATTTAGTACTGACTTTATCTCCACTTCTTGAGGAATTCTTTCTTCTAATCACTGGATTCCGGAGTAATTCAAACATGACCAGCTTTTGGAAAAAGCATGAATTCCTTGGTTGATTATATTTGATGAGTCAAAAATTGCACGCACATCTTATTGTATAACCGTGGTGTCCGGATCAACTTTTGCGCACCTTAATTAGGGTACTTGTTACCTCCCGCCAACATTATTCATCTAATAAATTGGATAGTTGTGCATTATGTTTTGCAATTTTACGCTTATAAGAAAAGGTTGGTCTCACTATAAAAATTGCCTTCAACAAAGAATGTAGCTCAACTGTCAAACCAGAACGGTAAAGTAACAAGCAGAACAAACAAAAGTATAGTATCTGCTATGACATGAAGACTGCAGTTCAACAATTGATATACTTTTTTTTGGTTGACAAAGCTGACCGTTTTCTACGTGCTACACTCGACAATATGAACCTGCAAGTAACAAAAAATTTACCCTTTTTCTGAGGAATTGAATCAGTGACAATTACAAATCCCCCCTATGACTGGGTCTGAGAGATAATTGGGAGAGTGTGTGACATCCGACACAGAAATATATTTACTCAATGGTGCTTATGCTAGTTTCTTTCCAAGGAGGAGAGTTTAGCACTCTCAAAGATCACTACATCATGTAAAATGTGTACTCCGATTTCCTTGCCAGTCATCCAAGGATAAATGTGGGCCAACAAAATCTACGGAGGGCGATAGGAAAGAATGATAGAAACAGATTTCTTCTAATCCAATTCTATGCTTTGCCATTTGGCTTTGGTGAATTCTGAGGAAGTTGATGATGGTGTGGAGAAGCATGAGAACCATTTGGAATTGAAAGACTTCTTGGTTGCTGCTGTCCATACCTTGAGAACGATCCCTGCGTTTTAAGGCCATTTCTTGTATTTGGGCTTGATCCAACTCGGTCAGCTTGCATGGTCTGAAAATAGTACGAGGAGCTGGCCATGTCCTTGAGGTTCGGCAAAGGCTTCAAGGCTTCAACCACTTCACTCATCATAGGTCTAGCTTTGGAATCCCGGCAAAGGCATCGAGCAGCTAACTGTGCAGCTTTCTGTGCACCTTTTATAGAAAAATGACCTTCAAGTCTAGGATCTATTAATTTATAGAACCTTCTTCTTTCACCCAAATGTGGCCGCGCCCACTCAACAAGGTTATGCTCCCCATGTGGCCGGTTCTTGTCCATTGATCTCCTACCTGTCATCATTTCAAGCAGAACTACACCAAAACTGTAGACATCACTCTTTGATGTCAAATGTCCTGACACAAAAGAGTGGCACGCGTTTCAATCAGTAAGAGGGAAAGATCATCTAATTAATGGAAGTTTCAGTCAGAAGATGGGAAGAACATTCAAGAACCTTTTCAACTGTGGTTCAGGTCATGGAGTTGTACAGAGACATTAATAGTAGGAAATACTAGATTAAAACGGTTTGAAGGATTTGTAAGCGAACTAGCATCCAACTAGGTGGGACTTGAAGTGACACAAAGAAATTTGATAAAGCTGAGCAGGCCATCCAACTGACATATAGGTAAGTATTGTAGGAAGAAAGAGATCGACCAAGATTGTAGCTTTACCTGTCATCACATACTCAGGAGCTGCATACCCATATGTTCCCATGACACGAGTAGAAACATGGGTCTTGTCGCCCTCTGGACCATCTTTGGCAAGTCCAAAATCAGAAAGTTTGGCATTGTAATCCTGAGAGAACCGTGTTATTAGAAAAATGATAAAAATGGGAGAGATCAATTTGCCAATGTGTTTGAACACACCGCATCTAGCAGAATGTTGGATGTTTTGAAATCACGGTATATCACTGGTCTTTCTGCTTCCTCATGAAGAAAAGCAAGACCTTTTGCAGCACCCAGAGCTATCTTCATCCGGATGGACCACGGAAGAGGCAGGGACCCTGATATTACAAAGTTGCATAAAATAATGCAAGGACATTAACATTTACAGCAGAAAACACAGATAAGAACATAAGCATATATTCTAGAACTTCGTAAGTACCAACATCCACTTCACCAGATTCAGATAGCAATACTGAAAAATCACAAGATAAAAGCCATCATATTTTGGTTACTCCAGAAATATGCTAAATGCAAAAACCTGGAAATATATAATGTATACAAGACCAATTAAGGCTAGCTGTTGGAGTAACATCACTTGTCTTCCCCAAGAATCACCAAACCCTCCTCTAAATTTGACTTTCTTCTTCCCTACCAAATTAACTATTTGACTTTCTTCTTCCCTGCCAAATTAACTACGGTTGCTAGTGGCTGAACCATTGATCACATATAAAAAATGCTCATGCATTACATTTCTCAGCAGAAGGTACACAAACTACAACTGCCAAACGAGGATCAAGGAATTCTAGCAAAAGTGCAAAGGAATCAATCATATAAGCAATTGATAGATTTTGTCTGAAGTAATCCTATAATATTCCTTAAGAAGTGCCAATCTCAAATGCCTCACATTAGGGGGGAACTAACAAGGTTTGACCCATGCAGTCTCAATTCAGTTTTCCTAGTGTTCAAATATAGGTGAAGCCTAAAGATCAAGATGCTCGGTGCTATTACTTTTTATCATGCTTTATAAAATGATAGTGCATTTCCTAAAGGGATGATTAACTGTCATTCTTCCGGAGTAGAATGAACCCCCTCTCTCTCTCTCTCTCTCACACACACACACACACCTACACATAAGAACTCACTCTATACTCTTATCTCACCATGCTTTTTTCACCACCATCATCGCATTTTCCTAACCTAAATCCTCACTTCCACACTAGTCTTTACCTTGATTCATCTGCATCATGAGGAATCAGTGGCGACGAGGTTTTCTAGAAATGGAAGAGACAAATTAATTGATCAACAGGAATAACATAGATTTCACTTCGGGGTGAAAGGATAACATAGATATATATACTGCACAGTTTCTAGCAATAGAAACAGGTCTTGCTGATTTCAATGGACACATTAATCATTCTTATCTTGTGGCTAATGTCGCAATTGTTTAATTTCTTTAGTAACTGTTTTTTATTTCACTGGAAATGGATTTTTATGTGCAGCAGGCATTGAGGGTCACAGACAACTAGCAGGTTAGACTCGAGGTTGAGCTAAGGAATTACAATCTCCAAACTAGCAGGAATCAAGTGAGAACTTGTAGGTTGTTCATAACACTTAAGTCCGATCTACAGGTTGGTATTTCAAGCTAAGCTGAGACAAGCAAGTCGTTATTGATGAACTAGAAACCTCTCGATTCTAGCTCTTTAGGAATTATATAATGGCCAGAAGAATTTATCCAAAGCACCCAAAAAATAGGGTAAAGCAAAAGCCAAAATATTTAAGCTGATGCTTATAAACCCAAGATTAACCACTATCCTGTCCAAGAACTCCTTTCCCCTTTCTCTCTCTGATCTTCCATTTCCTCCTTTCCCCTTTCTCTCTCTGATCTTCCATTTCCTCCTTTTTCCCCCTTTCAAGCAAGCATCAAGAAAAACACAAGGAAACTTGGATTCCTTATGCGCCACACATGGATATCTTTCCATCGATAGATCAGAGGGTCCCCCCTTGAACAAATTCTTAAAGGTTAGGTTACTACCTGCTTCTACGGAAGAGGTTTACTTTGTACTGGACTCTTCTCTGACTAGAAGAGCTGCGCCTAAGACTCTGAAGCGAAGGAAGGTGGTCCCGAGCCCCCGTTTTTTTGTTCCCATTGGGTTTA